GCCCACCCCCGTGTCTCCCCGGGCCTCTGGGACTCTTGCCGTGGACAAGAAGCCCACGTCGGCCAGGCCCAGTTCCTTGGCCCCCAGACTGAGCCGCCCGGCGACCAGCGCTTCCACGCCTGATCTGAAAAACGTCCGCGCCAAGGTCGGCTCCACGGAGAACATCAAGCACCAGCCTGGAGGAGGCCGGGTGGGTCCCGGGACGCAGGTCCTCCGCATGCTTTCCCGCCACATCCCGCGCTGGTCCCCACGCATGTCCTCACCGCAGCCCGGGCACCAGGGAGGGGCCGGCAGGGCCTGGGCTTGGAGCTGGGAGGGGTGGGCCGAGTGCTGCGCCCTGATTGGAATCAGGGGCTCCTGTTCTGTGTGTGGGTTTAGGCTTACAGTTTTGTTTGGAGACAAAAGGTTCTACTTGACAACATGAGCAGAGGAGACTCTGGGGCTGCGACTGGTTTGTCCTGGGTCTGGCCTGCCCTGTGAGCAGCAGGAGTGTCTGTGGAGGGTGGGGGTCCTGGTGGCCGTGGCTGCCCCACGAAGGCTCTGCGGTGGAGTGGAGTGATGGAGCAGGCCCGCGGGCCTTTCTGTTTGCGTCCGTCCTGGCGTTACTTGTTAACTGTCAGCAACCAGGGCGACTTGGTGTGTGAGAAAGGTGGTGGCAGGAGTCCACTGCCCAGTCCCTGAGTGCAGCCTTGTCACCTGCATCGCCTCCAGCCCTTCTCCGCCACCACCCCTGAGGGCAGGACACTGACCTGGCTTCAGTCCCGAGCTGTTAAAAAATTGAAGCGGGTCCAAAGTGAGGCAGAATCTGCTGCCGCGGGAAGAACCTCCCGCCAAGAGGATTGGCCTGGGGTGAGGGCCTTGGGCTGGGCTCTGGCAGCCCCACCAGGCCTCCCTTCCCGCACACCCCTTAGGCTCTCCCGTGCAGCATCGTGGGGGCGCTGAGGAACGCACTCCGGCGGTTCCGTTTTTCTGTCCCACAGACCTGCAGGGCGTGACGCGCACGTCTCCGGTAGTGGCTCGCTGTGACCAGGGGCGCGTGCGTGGGGCAGAGAACGTTTGGGTGGGAGGACATTGTGGTTGGAAAGCCATAGCCCCGGCCACGCTCAGAGCAGAGCAGCTCACCGAGCCCCCGCCTGCCGGTCTCCGTGATGCTGGCTGCTCTTCTCGTGGCTCCAGCTTTGATCTGCAGCTCTTCCCTCTGGCTGGTCTACCTGGGAAATGGGTGTTTTTTCCCAGGAGCAAGGGGACCTGCTTCTGCCTGGCCTGGATTCGAGTCCCAGCCTTCTTTCCCTCTTGGCATTTGGGCTCTTGTCCTCTTGTTTTGAAATTGCCCTTCCTTTATCCCCGTCTAGGCCAAAGTAGAGGAAAGAACAGAGGCAGCAGCTGCAGCTCGAAAACCTGCCCCTCCCGCGGCCACTAAGCCTGCTGGGCCGGGTGCGAGTGCACAGAGGGCACCTGCGGGGAAAGTGAGTGTCCGGGGACCTGCCTCTTGCCGGTCAGCGCACAGCCACGCCCTCCTGCTGCCTCTCCTGTCCCTCCACCAGCTCCGTCCTCTCCCTGTGCCTTCTTCGTGTTTCGCAACAGGAAAAGTTTTTATCAACCCTGAGAGTTAACACTTGGGACTCATTAGTGCTTTGGGGACTATTTATTCAGCTGGATCTACAACTTTCAATCACTTCCTTCACACTGACCTTGATCTGACGTCCAGCTGTTACCCGCGCGCACACACATACTCACACACACACACTCACACACACACACTCACACACACTCACACACACACTCACACACACACACTCACACACACTCACACACACACACACACATTCACACACACACACTCACACACACTCACACACACACACACACATTCACACACACACACTCACACACACTCACACACACACACACACATTCACACACACACACTCACACACACTCACACACACACACACACATTCACACACACACACTCACACACACTCACACACACACACACACATTCACACACACACACTCACACACACTCACACACACACACACACATTCACACACACACACTCACACACACTCACACACACACACACACACACACTCACACACACAGCACCGGGTTCTTCCGCAGTGAGACATGGCACTGGTATCTTCTGGCACCTGGAATCCCGGAGACCCTGTGCTTTAAGCTGAACTAGAAGGCCCCTCTCATAACACTTCTGGGTGTGGGGATGGCTTGGTTTGTCCTGGCCCCCCAGGTCACATCTTAGCAGAAAGTTAGGGTGCTCATTACAGTGGAAGCCCACCCAGCACGGTGGCGCGCCAGCTGGAGGGAGAGGCCAGCTGGCCCTGCAGGTTCTTTCCCTCCGCCTCCGCCAGGCACAGGCCCGCCTGCTGTGGGGCCTCTGCCCGGAGCTGCGCAGCCGGGTGGCCTCTGGCCGAGGGCTCAGCCCAAGGACTCTGTACATCAGGCGAGAGGAAGGCTGCACCGCAGCTCCTGGGTGACTCCTGGGGTCCCTGGTGCAGACCAGGGTTTATTGGGAAATGTTTGTAAAGAAGCAAGAAATGGCGAGGTATTTGGGTTAGTGTTTGTCAGCGTGATTTCTCTACTCCATCGGGAGCTGCATCATTTGCAAAGGGCTCTGAAGGGAAGGGAAGAGAAAGGAAGCAGGGAGGGAGGAAGGGAGGAGTAGAGAGGGAGGGAGGGAGGGAGGGAGCGAGGGAGCTGGCAGCTGCTTCTTGAGAAGGCTGCGGGATCGGGCGGCTGCATTCCAGGGGCGGCCGCTCGCTAGCTCGTGTGCAGGACAGCATGCTGGGCCTACAGGACTCTCCATGCCCTGGGCTTCGTGAGGAAGCTGCTGGGCTGTGGGCCGCGCGCCCCCTGGTGTCCAGGACTGTGCACGACACGCCCAGCGCTGGTGTCTCAGATCTGTGCCCGGGAGCCCACTGCCCAGTGCTTCCCCAGTGGCTCTGCTGCAGCTGCTCCAGACCCCAGGCTGAAGGGAAGTCCCATCCCTGGGGAGGGACTGGCCCAGATGAGCCCCAGGACATGCCCCCCAGACCTCAGGGAGGGAGCAGGCAGGGGCGGCCGTGTGCAGGGAACCACAGCCCAGCCCCCACCGAGCAGTGGCAGCGCCAAGTAGCACTTCACCCCAACATCTGTTCTGTCCTATGTTGACTGTCCATCTTCACCCCTTTTCCTGCTCCTTCAGGCTCTGTGCTTCCCACAGCTGTTCTGCTGCAGGTGGGGCGGAGTTTTAACCACTCTCTGTTGGTCACGTGATTGCGTGTGGACTCACTGCGCCCTGTGTCAGTAACCAGCCCTCTCCCCTGTGTTGTCTCTGTTCTCTGACACTCCAGGTCCAGATAGTCTCCAAAAAATTGAACTACAGCCATGTTCAGTCCAAGTGTGGTTCCAAGGACAATATTAAGCATGTCCCTGGAGGCGGTAATGTAAGTATCAGCCTGGACTCTTGGGCCTCGGCCGCCGTGGGGCACACTGGGAGGAGCCCCGCCCCCACCTGTGCCATGGGCGCGCAGCCTGGCCAGCGCCGCCTCAGGAAGCGCCTAGCAAGTGGGGCTGGTGGGCCAACCCCCCTGGCGCCACTCCCTCAGCCTCTCCTCAGCCCTAGGTGGGCGCCTTGCTGCTCCTCCAGCTGCACCAGAGGCCGGGCCGGGCCGCTCCTGGGGGCCCACCTGCCTGCCCTGCCCGGAGCTCCCCCACCTTCCCTCTCCTGCTCTTTCTCCTCTTCTCCTGACCTCCTCTCTCTCCTTTCTACTCATTCCCCCACTTATTCCTTTCCTAGTTCTTTCCTTTTTTAGTCCCTTTTCCTCCTCTTTCTGTCCCTTTCCCTGTCCCACCCAGACATCCTTCTGTCGCGCTGCTCTTCCGTGCCAGCCGGGACCTGTGCTGGGGAGTCGGGGAGCCGTGTCTGTCGGTCATGTGTGAAGAGCGCCTGTGTGTTTGCCCCGTGTCCCTGCGACAGCGCAGGCAGCGGGACTCTGAGCTGGGGGTGCTGGGGGGGGTCATGGGCAGCCCTGCCCTTCCTGCTCCTCCACCAGTTTCAGTCCCGCCCCCAAGAGAGCCGCCCAGCCTCGCCCCTGGGCTCCTCACTGTCCCCCTGGACTGAGTCCTGCCTGCTCACCTGCCCCTTGGGCCCCGCCGTCCTGCCCGTGGCCTGCAAGCACCCTCGCGGCAGCTGTCTCGGGAGGAAGGCAGCCGGCTGTGCCCCTTCTTGCCCCACAGCCCCCTTGTGGCACCTCCTTCCACACCCTCCCCCCAGTGGGGCCTCGCCGTGTGGGCAGGAGCCATGGCTTTGCTTCAGGTGGGGGTGGGGGTAGTTGGCCAGACCTTAGCCAACCTGGTGTGGGATCAGCTGAAGTGGGCGACACGTTCTTTTTTTTCCTTTTTAAATATATTTTATTGATTTCAGAGGGGAAGGGAGAGGTAGAAACATCAATGATGAGAATCATGGATCAGCTGCCTCCTGCACGCCCCCAGCTGGGGATCGAGCCTGCAGCCCGGGCATGTGCCCTTGACTGGGATCAATCCCGGGATCCTCCAGTCCACAGGCTGAGGCTCTATCCACTGAGCCATACCATCTAGGGCCGTGGGCAACACTCAAAGATCTGCCCTCACTTTTCCTCTCAGCCTTGGGCCTGATGAAAACAGGGCGAGCAGGGTTTCAGAGGGAACTGGTGTGTGTGTGTGTGTGTGACACAAATGCACTATGTATGTTGTGCGTTGGAAATCATCGCTATTTACCTGTCACCTGCTATGCTCTTCACGCTTCCGACACATGGCCTCAGCAGCCTTTCTGGGGTGTCCTTGTGTAAAGCATCTCCATGTGGGGAGACGTCTGTCAGCAGCAGGGCCTTCAGATCCTGCCGGAGAGCTGTTTCCAGGGGGACCCTGAGGGTGAGCATCGGGCTGAGGTGCTCTCGCCCCTCCTCCCTCCCTCCGGGAAGCCAGCGGGTCAGCATGTGGCTCCCCAAGGGCAGGCCTGTGTGCAGGCGGAAGCTCCCGCCACAGCCCTCCCCTGTAGAGGTGCGGGAGTTCCCGTGGGGCGGGGCGAGGGGCGGGGCTAGCTCCACTACCACCCCCCACAGACACACACACACCCCTGGGGCAGAGCCAGGGGGGCGGGGCAGGAACTTAGCAGCTACTTTTGTGGGTGATCCCAACTTTAAACGTTGCAGCCGTTTTAATCCCATTTCACCCTCCGAGGAGGGCATGTCTGTTCCTAGACCTGCCGGGAGGGTCACTTCAGTAGCAGCACTGACATCTGCGCTGGGCCCCGGGCGTCACCCCAGGGGCAACAGCACAGCTACAGCCAGGTCCCGTGGCTGGGGGCTTGGTTGTGTGAGAACACGGCTGTCGGGCTCCACTGGGGGGACCTGTGGGCTGTCGGGGTTCACTGGGGGACCTGTGGGCTGTCAGGCTCCACCGGGGGGACCTGTGGGCTGTCAGGGTTCACTGGGGGACCTGTGGGCTGTCGGGGTTCACCGGGGGGACCTGTGGGCTGTCGGGGTTCACTGGGGGACCTGTGGGCTGTCGGGCTCCACTGGGGGACCTGTGGGCTGTCGGGGTTCACTGTGACCTCTGGGCCAGCCTTTGACCATGAGAGACACACGTCCTGGGCCGTGAAAGCTGCACGTGGAGGGCGGAGAGGAGCCAGGAGGGAAGGGGGTGGTGGGTCCTCCACGTCCCCGTGAGGCAGCGGAGCCATGTCTCGGAGGCAGTGAAGCTTTAACAACCTCTCATCGTAGACGTTTCCAAATATACACAAATGTCACCAAATAGAAAGTGAAACGGGCTGGCTGTGCCTTTGCCAGCTTCCTTTGCTTGTGGCCAATCTCCATTATTCTGGGGCCGGTCTTAGGTAACTCGCCCGTGTGCGAACCTCCCCGTATGTAACTAAGAGAGAAGTCTGCCACGTGCACGTGTAGGAGACCCACCGTGAGCATCGGGATCGGCAGGGCCGTGAGCTGTGACGATGCTGGACGCGCCGTGTCGCTCGCTCGCTCGCTCGGAGGCTCTGTGCCCGAGTTCCGCGGCCCTGCTGCTCGTGAGCGCCAGCGGCCGTCCTGGAGTCTGGGTTCCGCTGATGGTGCCCCATTAACACGCTCCTTTACGCTCCCATTTTCTCGATGTCGATTCAGGTTTACATTTTGTTACCACTCTGTTGCTGTTCATCCTCACCCGAGGATATGTTTCCATTGAGTTTTAGAGAGAGTGGGTGGAAAGGAGGGAGGAAAAGAGAGAGAGAAACATTGATGTGAGAGAGACACATTGATTGGTTGCCTCCCACACATGCCCTGACGGGTTGGGGATTGAACGGAACCCAGGTCTGTGCCCTTGACCGGGAGGCAAACCCACAAGCCTTTGGTGCGCAGGCCGGCACTCGAGCCACGGAGCCACCAGCCAGGCTCTGCCGCCTGCGGTAACCCTTCCACGGTCGTGTGGGTTCAGGAAACCTGTTGTGTCTTGTTTTTCTGGTCTTTTCTCTCGTGATGTCAGCGACTGATGCCCAACGCTAAGCCCCTGAGTGCATAGTAACTGGCTGGGATACAGCTGTCAAGTGAAGGCACAAGGTGAAGAAGTGGAGGGTTCGAGGGCAGACCCGTCGGAGAACCTGTGGGCTCCACACTGGGGTGAGCGCCCGCGGGCGAGTGCCTGAAGCAGCTGCCTCACCTTCGGCTGAGAGAGTCCACTTCCCGCTGGTCCCGTTCAGGGAGCCGTGCAGCCTGTGGCCAAGATGAGACAGAGGGGGCCCCCGGTGGTGGCGATGGCGGGAGGTGCTCTGTGAAGAGTTGCTGAGTTCCTGAAGCCCTTGGTGTCCAGTGCTTGCTGATGCCCGCCCCGGAGGCCATGTGGAGAAGGCAGCCTCTGAGGGCGGGGCTTGCGGGGCTCGGGCAGCATGGGGGGCTCTAGAAGCCTAGAAGCGAGGGCGACGGCTCAGGCAGGCAGCCTCCATGCTTCCAAATCCATTGTGTGTGGGCGCTGGGGGTGGGCGGGATGGGTGGGAAGACAGTCACTACAGGTTGTCTCAGGGCTTAAAAAGGCCTCTCCTCTCCGCTGAAGGAAAATGTGTGAAAGGGTCTGAATGGAAGAGTGAGGGCTCAGGCAGGCTGCTGGTGTGGGAGTTACTCCGCGCCAGGCCCGGGCTGTGGGCGGGGACTCTTCCCCTGGGAGACCCTGGTTCCTGACACAGAAGGAAGACAAGGCCAGGAGGTGGGAGGCGGTGGGTGTGCGGAGAGCCAGGCTCTTCCGCAGAAGCAGGGGCACCTGGGGTCCCGCGTGGGGGCTCTGTCCATGGAGGTTCTTTCCCAGTTTAAAGACGTGCTGGCGCCTGGTGCCCCGGTGCTGCCGCACGGCTCCTGCGAGGCAGGTCCGAGGAGAGTCTGTTGGCCTCTCGCCTCATACGTATGTCGACGATAGAACCTGTGCTGTCAGCCCGCAGGGAGGTGCATGGAAAAGAACTGGAAGGAAATGGGCCAGAACCTCTGGGAAGGAGTAGATGGACCGGGTTCGAGGTAGAGCAGGGGGTGGCTCAAGAGAGTGGGATCCAGAAAAAGGGGAGGAAGCTGTCTGGCGGTGGCCTGGAGAGGGCGGAGATGTGCGTGGAAACGTGTTTGGTCTGGCTGCACACGGGGAGCACTTTTGGAAGGTGACCCTGACCTTGAACAGACTAAGCTAGGAGCTCAGGAGGGAGAGAAGACACTTGAACTTGGATGCAAGGATTTCAGAGGGAGTGGCCTTGGCCTGGCATGTTCTCCCTCTGAGGCAACGTTTGTGTTGGTCATTTTCTTCTCAGGTTCAGATTCAGAGCAAGAAGGTGGACATCTCCAAGGTCTCCTCCAAGTGTGGGTCCAAGGCCAACATCAAGCACAAGCCGGGTGAGTCCCTCCCGGCCTGGGTGCGCGGCCAGCGGGGGTCACCCTCTGTCGGCCATGGCACAGGGGTCCTGGCCCTCAGGGAGCGGGAGGAGCGGCCGAGTCGAGGCTGCGTTTGCAGGGGCCTCGTCTGGAGGACGCTTTGTGTGCGAGGTGCCGCTGACCAGGACCTGGGAGGGGTTCCTGGGCTCCG